CTGGTCTTCATAGCATTTCAGCAAATTTATAACCTAATGTTATATTCATTTTGATCCCTACATTAGAAGGTGAGCTCTGCAAAGTGGGAGGCTTGATCGGTTTTTCCCTATTATATCCCAGTACCTATAACAGTGCCTCCCACATAGCAAGCACTCAATAAGTATTTCCATATTAAATGAATGGATGAATCCTGATTTAGGTAAGGAATCTTTAAACATGTACTTCCTAAGGTATTTTGTTGTGATGTTAGTAGATGTTACACAAAGAGAATCCTGGGTTAAATGAAGTTAAGTGGGTTTTTTTTGTCTGTTTGTTTGTTTTCCTATAGGACTCCTCGAAGCCTTTACTACATTGCTGTATGCTGGGAATCTCTAATCAAGGAATGGGGTTAGTATGTATATTTCCACAACACAGAGCCTTTAGGCATGAGGTTCTACACAGGCACATGGTATGGAACGATGAGATCTTGCATTTCACTCTCAAATCCCTGCTCCATTATGCTGGCACTCAGGATCGAAATGTGTCAGTTCAACACCTGTAGGGTCTTTGATCCCCCCTGCCCCAGTGGTAATTGAGTTTCTCTAATCAGATTCTTGAAACCTACCTCTTCACCTGATTGTACATATTGGTTCATAGACCTTGTTTCTGTTTTGTTTTCTATGGCAACAACCGACTGGTGTCCCAGGCCTTCTAGACAGGGGGCCTGAAGCATACCCTCCTCTTGCCTGGACCCCTGAGTCCTGGGAAGGCTTCCAGACACTGCTGGCCTTCCTGCACTTCCTAGAGCTGCTTTTGCTTTGGGACCACTTGTTAGAATTGAGAGCAGAATTTTTTTTTTTTTTTTTTTTGAGATGGAGTTTCGCTCTTGTCACCCAGGCTGGAGTGCAATGGCGCAATCTTGGCTCACCGCAACCTCCACCTCCTGGGTTCAGGCAATTCTCCTGCCTCAGCCTCCTGAGTAGCTGGGATTACAGGCACGTGCCACCGTGCCCAGCTAATTTTTTGTATTTTTAGTAGAGATGAGGGTTTCACCGTGTTGACCAGGATGGTCTCGATCTCTTGACCTCATGATCCACCCACCTCGGCCTTCCACAGTGCTGGGATTACAGGCGTGAGCCACCGCGCCTGGCCGAGAGCAAAATTTTTAAAATCTCTTTGGACCCTGTGTCTTAGTAACTGCCCTGATAAGAACAACAATTGGTAAAACTAATGAGCTCCTAAGGTTTTTTCATAAATTAATTCATTCTTCTATTTATTTTATATATAAGAAAAGTGAGAGCTAGTAAGATTATGTAAGTTGTCCAAGGTTACTCAGCTGGTATATAACAGAGCTAGGGTTTAAAACTAAACTCAAATATTTGCCTATCCTCCATCTCAAAAAAAAAATGATACTTCACCCTGCCTTTATGGGTCCCTCCTCCCACCTGATTCCCCAGGAGGGGTCACCTGATTCCCAGGAGGGGTCACCTGATTCACGCTTGGCCCAGGAATGAAGCAACACTGAAAGACAGAGTCAGTTGGCGGGGAGGACCTGAACTGTTTTTAGGGAGAATTTCCTTTGGAGTTGGTGCTAGGGCACGGCAGGCAGTCATGTGCCAGGCACAGGGGAGCAGAACAGCCAGAAGTAGTACAATAAATCTATCCTCATAGGGAGAAGCAAGGAAATGAGGCAGACTAGACAGGGAAGCACAATGGAGACAGAGACGACCCACGAGAAAAGATGGGACCACTTCGCTATCTGGCTTTCCAGCACCTGTTCCTTCAGGCTCAGAAACTTAGGTGTTCTGCCCTTGGACGCTGGGAAATGCCTTTCTTAAAGTAAACTTTCTTTGTTTTTACTTTGAGTGGATTTTTGTTTCTTGCCGCCAAAGACATACTAAGGCAGGAAAGGTAAGTTCAGTTATTAAAACATTAACTGTAAGGTGCGATATGCAGAGGTGCGCAGTTGGTGGTAAACAGGTAAGTAAAGGGCTTAGGAGCCACTTCATGATCACAGATAAAGATAGGGGCATGCCACTTCTAGTTTCCAAACCCTTCTATTTCTCTCAATTTCTTAGCCAGTCCTATTCTTCTCCCACTTGCCAGGTGCTATGAAGAATATGAACTGCTGTGAAGTGTGGGGCTATGTCTTTGATGAGCCATGTGACAACAATTGGAATAATAACCCTGCCCAGCCAGCATCACAGGAGCATGAAGAGGACCAAATGTCAGGGGGCTTAGAAAAGTGAAAAGACAGCCCAGGCAACACAACGTGATCTCTTCTCTACAAATCATTAAAAAATTAGCTGGGCATGGTAATGTGCACTTGTGGTGCCAACTACTCTGGAGGCTAAGGCGGGAGGATTGTTTGAGCCTGGAAGGTCAAGGCTGCAGTGAGCCCTGATTGCATCACTGCAGCCTGGGTGATAGAGTGAGAAACCCCCAAGAAGAAAGAAAGGAAAGAAGAAAGGATGGAAGGACAGAAAGAAAGAAAAGAAAGCAAGGGAAGAAAGAAAGGAAAGAAAGGGAAGAAAGAAGAAAGAAAGGGGAGAAAGAAAGGAGAGAAAGAAAAAGAAAGAATGAAAGGAAAGAAAGGGGAAGAAAGAAGAAAGAAAAGAAAAAGAAAGGAAAGAAAAAGAAAAGAAAGAAAAAAGAATAGGAAAGAAAGAAAAAAGAATAGGAAAGAAAGAAAAGAAAGAAAGAATAAAAAAAGAAAGGAAGAAAGAAGAAAGAAAGAAAGAAAGAGAAAGAGAGAGAGAGAAAGGGAAAGTCCTACAGGTTTAGAAGGTTGCATCCTCATCTCCTGCTGTGTCAAGTAGGCAGAGAAAAGATGCCCTAAGCCAAGTAAGAATACCTCCAGGAGCAGGGATGGAGAAATGGTTGTACACGGAGTGCCCTTTACTTCCACACTGCTTAGCTCTTGGCAGACATTATCTATTTTTAATGCTCAAAAGACCACCATGAAAAAGTATCAGTATTATTTCCATTTTGCGGATGAGGATACAGAGACCCAGTGGTACTGGGGTAGGTAGCACTGAGGCTAATCCCTGTTCTCCCCAACTCTACTCACATTTCACAGACATGTGGACTGGCTGCATTCAGCAGCTTCCTGTTGGAAGGGGTAGTTGAGAGCTCATGGCTTACTCCATGCACCTGCAGCCAATCACAGGAAAGCTCTGGAAATCGACAGGCACCCATGAGCAGGAAGGAGGGGAATGAAGCCACCTTACAAATGTATTTCCACTTTCTGAACCGTAGTTCAATCCAGGAAGACCAAGGCAATGGATTTCACACCTAGGACATGCCCTTCCACTTTCTTGGTCACCACCCCAAACAAGGGTCAGTGGGCCCTAACACTGGAAGATCTTGAGGCACTGAGGCTGGGAGGCTGGAGGCGGGGTGCAAGGTTGAAGGTGAAAGAGAGGGAAAGTGAGTGGAGAGGACAGCCCGGAGCTAAAGCCCACTTGCTCTTCTCTGAACTCATGGGGCTGCTGGGGTCTTGCAGGCTGAGTCAGAGGCTGTTGCCCTCAGTCCCCTGAGCTCTATGCTGAGGGTGGCTGGGTCCTGTGCTGTAGCAACAGCCCACCTGGGAAAATAGCTAGAAACCCCTTGCCTTCTCTAAACCTCAGTTGTACTCACTTACAAAAAGGAGAGAATAATGCCTACCTTGTGGTACTGCTGTGTGGACAAAACGAACTGATGGTGTAAAGGGGTTGTGAAAACTGAAGGACTACATCCTTGCTTGGCTCTTGCCTGTTATCCTTTCTGTGCCAGCTGACAGTCTCTTCTTTCAATGAACTACATTTAAGATATTGCCTTTGCTTGTTAGTGACTGGAGACAATATGTAATATGAGTTATGGATGCACAGATTGCCTGGGTGGGATGCCCACAAAATGCTATAGGACAGGGATTCTTAACCCCCAGGCCACAGACAAGTACTGGTTCATGGCCTGTTAGGAACCAAGCCACACAGCAGGATGTGAGCAGCAGGTGAGTGAGCAAAGTTTCTTCTATATTTATAGCCACACCCCGTCACTGACATTACGAGCTGAGCTCTGCCTCCTGACACATCAGTGGCAGCATTAGATTCTCATAGGAGTGTAAACCCTACTGTGAACTGTACACATGAGGGATCAAGTTTCATATTCCTTATGAAAATCTAATGCCTGATGATCTGTCTCCTATCACTCCCCAGATGGGACTGTCTAGTTGCAGGAAAATAAGCTTAGGACCCTCACTGATTCTACATTATGGTGAGTTGTATAATTATTTCATTACATATTAGAATGTAATAATAGAAATAAAGTGTAAAATAAATGTGATATGCTTGAGTCATCCCAGAACCAACCCCCTGACCCCAGTCCTTGGAAAAGTTGTCTTCCATGAAATCAGTCCCTGGTGTCAAAAAGGTTGGGGACTGCTACTCTAGGGGATACCATGACCCCCAGGTCACATCTTACCTATGACCATCTCAGCACCAAATCCTATGTGTGGTTCTCTAAGTCTACAGTTTTCCTTTGTTCTGTTGTAATCCATATATTGAAATATTATACCATATAAAGCCTAGTGTAGGAATATAGAGGAAATGTTTACCAAAGCAACTGGAATATAAAGCAAATGATTACCTGCCTCTGTCAGGGAGAGTTGAGTTACAAAATTCAGAACAAGGCACGTTCTATAGAATTTCATCTTTGTGGCTACTGCCAATTACCTTGAAAAGTTTGTGACAGAGAAATCCTTGTTTTCCTTAAGAATGTATACTTGAAAGATGTATACTATCATTCTAAAACTTCACTTTTCCAAAACAAAGACCAGAAAATTTAATCTTCATCCTTTATCAAATATCTTTTTTCACTGGATAAAAATATATTCCCTTCCAGGAAAAAAAAAAGTTTCAAATTATTCCCTTCCAGGAAAACAAAAAGTTTCAAATTAGAAATAAATCTAAGCATATGAAACGTCATCAAAAAGAGAAGAATGTTATCTGGCTTTAAAATGTCTTAAAGTTGGTACCCCCACCTCTGTTTTAATACTCTTCGGTCAATTAGTCCATTATCAAGGTTTTCAGATGGATAGAAAGATGGCATCTGCTCCCCATGGCTGACTGGACTGGAGGTCTCTTCACCCCTGTAACTAAGAAAGAAGAGGTGGATCAGGCACTATTCAACAGGAGACATGAACATTGATCTCACAGCAGCTCTGAGGGTAGCACCAACCCAGAGTAAACATCATGGTCTGTGTCCACTTCCAAGTTCCACATTAAAGTAATGACTAACAGAATGGAAAGAAGGCCCCTCTGGCATCATCTAATTCAGTGGTTCCTATGTGCCAGGAGGCAGACTGATGCCAGTTCATAATGTTGTTTCCACCAATCTATCCCTTTTTTTTTTTTTTTTTGAGACGGAGTTTCGCTCTTGTTACCCAGGCTGGAGTGCAATGGCACGATCTTGGCTCACCATAACCTCTACCTCCTGGGTTCAGGCAATTCTCCTGCCTCAGTCTCCTGAGTAGCTGGGATTATATGCATGCACCACCATGCCCAGTTAATTTTTTGTATTTTTAATAGAGACAAGGTTTCACCATGTTGACCAGGATGGTCTCGATCTCTTGACCTTGTGATCCACCCACCTTGGCCTCCCAAAGTGCTGGGATTACAGGCGTGAGCCACCGTGCCCGGCCCCAATCTATCCTATTTTTAAATGGCATGAAGACAATATTTTCCTTTATGAAATGATGGTGATCATAGAATGTATCTTTTTTAGTGAATATTCTTATTTGGCAAAATTAAATGGTAAACTCCATCAGATCCCCACTCTGCTCTCTGCTATTTTGGGAGACATTTAATTATCTGTGAAATCTCATGACCTTAGAAACACACTCTGCTAACACCCTCATTTTCCAAGCAATGCAACTGAGGTCTAGAAGGGAAAGCAACTACTGGTGAGCTACTCAGTGGCAGTGCCATGATTTGAACTCAGTTTTTCACCTTCCTGCCCAGTGATTTTTCTACCAGTTTCAACAAGAACAACAACCAAAAAGCAACTGCTAATATGCCCACCTATTTCATATCCCCATCATTTGCTGAGGTATAAACAGGACGCTAAATATCCTACCCAGATGTGGCTACAAATCCTTTTTAAAATAACATGCCAGGCTGGATGTGGTGGCTCACATCTGTAATCCCAGCACTTTGAGAGGCCAAGGTGGGTCGATCACCTGAGGTCAGGAGTTTGAGACCAGCCTGGCCAACATGACAAAACCCTGTCTCTACTGAATATACAAAAATTAGCCAGGCATGGTGACAAGCATCTGTAATCCCAGCTACTCAGGCAACTGAGGTAGGAGAATTACTTGAACCTGGGAGGCAGAGGTTGCAGTGAGCTGAGATCTACCCATTGTACTCCAGCCTGGGCAACAAGAGTGAAACTCCATCAAAAAAAAAAAAAAAAAAAAAAAGAAAAGAAAAGAAAGAAAAGAAAACATGCTGGGTGTAAACCAAAAGTAAAATTCTAAGGCCCCCCCAGCCATCTGAATGGACTCCTCCTCTCAGCTAAAGGTATTCCAAAATCAACCTGAAAAACAAGTTCAGGCCATGATGGAAAGGGAAGGTTGAACATGCCTCATTATACCCTCCTCCCTTTTAGAATTCAGGAAAAGCTAACTGGCATTAACATCGACACAGACCTTAAGTCTGATAAGAAACATTTATGGTCTAGTCTCTCTGAAGCCTGTTACCTGGAGGCTTCATCTGCATGATAAAACCTTCATCTACACAACCCCTTATCATAACCCAGACATTCCTTTCTATTGATAGTAACTCTTCCAATCAACTGCCAATCAGAATTTTTTTTTAAGACAGAGTCTCACTCTGTTGCCTAGGCTGTAGAGCAGTGGCGCAATGTTGGCTCACTGCAACCTCTGGCTTCCAGGTTCAAGCAATTCTCCTGCCTCAGTCTCCTGAGTAGCCTGAATTACAGGCACCTACCACCATGTCCAGTTAATTTTTGTACTTTTAGTAGAGACAGGGTTTCACCAAGTTGGTCAGGCTGGTCTTGAACTCCTGATCTCAACTGATCTGCCCGTCTCAACCTCCCAAAGTGGTGGGATTACGGGCATGAGCCACTGTGCCCAGCTACCAATCAGAAAAATTTTAAATCTACCTGTTACTTGGAAGTCCCAGCTTTTATTTTTTTATTTTTTATTTTTTTGAGATGGAAGTTTGCTATTGTTGCCCAGGCTGGAGTGCAACAGCACAATCTTGGCTCACCACAACCTCCGCCTCCTGGGCTCAAGCAGTTCTCCTGCCTCAGCCTCCTGAGCCCCAGTTTTAAGTTGTCCTGCCCTTCCGGTTCAAACCAATCTAAATCTTACACTTATTGATGTCTTTCTTACATCTCCCTAAAATGTATAAAAGCAAGCTGTACTGACTGCATTGGGCACATGTCATCAGTGCCTCCTGAAGCTATGTCATGGGTGCATCCTTAACCTTGGCAAAATAGACTTTCTAAATTGATTAATACCCGTCTCAGGTACTTTTGAGTTCACACAGGCAACCACTAGCCATTAAAGGGAATCTGCACTCAAATGGAAACCTATCTGCTAGCTCTGATCTAGAATGCCATCACAGACTCCTTAGAACGAACCTAAAGTATCATTTATTCTACCCACTTCATTTTACAGTTGAAGAAGCAAAAACTAAAAGGGATCAGACAAATCTCCAAGGCCAGATGAGGAGCTAATATCACAATAGGGGGTTGAAATCAGCTGTTTTAATACCTAGCTTCAGGGTTCTTTTGTACACCAAGTTTCCTTTATTAAACACTCTCTAAAAGGGTTTAATTAAACCGTGTATTCTCATGCCTCTTTCTACTGTCATTCCCACTTGATGATTGTCAAGTGACAACATAATTAATAAATATATTTGACAATAAGCAAATATAACCAACAAGCATTTCATATAAAATATAAACTGATATATTTTTCTTCTCACATGCAATTGTAATTCTGCATTAGAATAATCTAAATACAAGACAACCCAAATCCCTAAGTGAGTCAGCTGCTTATGGATAGAGTGAAAAGTCTCCACTCATAAATCCCCAGACAAACTATGGTCCCCGTTCTGGCCACATTTGAAACTAGCTTTCTTAACCAGGTTAACCAAGTTTAACACAGGACTATTTCAGTCTGGGAGAAAAAGGACAAATCTGCTCAAAGATTGTGATACTCCTAACATCAGTGTGAATTAAACAGGAGTTAAGTACCATATTACTTTTCACAATGCACAGATGCAGAAACAGGAATGCCAACATTTAAAATAATCAATACAAGTCAGTAGTAGAACCAGGAATGAAGCCCAGGTTTTCTGGCACCCCAGCCAGTTCTCTTTTAGTTGAGAACATTATAAATTGATTTGCAGTGGAAACAAGACTGCCTGTTTTCTTCTAAAAGAAAGAAAGATTTTAAATATTTCATTTTACACATCCATATATTGCCTTAGAAATATCAAGATTCCAGTCAATGGAAGGGAACTTCCAGCTCCAAAGTCCTACTCATCCCAAAATGCAAGGAAATAACTCTGATCTCTCTTTCAGTTTCCCACCCTTCCTTGGGGAAGGAGTAAAAGCTTGCAATGGGAACTCCATTAATAGTTACATGTTCAAGAGTGTGCTCTTTTACATAGATAAGCCAAAACAATGTTTAGAAGTCCTTCAAATAAATCAGTTAGGGATCGGATGAAGCAGCTCTTGCCTGTAATCCAGGCACTTTAGGAGGCTGAGGCAGGAGGATGGCTTGAGGCGAGGAGTTGGAGACCAGCCTGGGTAACACAGTGAGAAAACCATTTCTTATAAATTAGACAGGTGTGGTGTTGAGTGCCTATAATCCCAAGTACTTGGGAGGCAGAAACAGGAGAACTGCTTGAGCCCAGGAATTTGAAGCTGCAGTGAGCTATGATCCTGCCACAGCACTCCAGCCTGGGGAACAGACTGAGACCTATCTCTATAAAAACCAAAAAAAATGAAAATTTTTTTTTTTAGTCAATTAGTAGAATTTCCAGTCTGGCTCTATATACCATCCTTTCAAGGCTACCTGTTCCCCTCCATGTCCCAAATTTTAAAATATTCTAGAAATAAAGTTGATTATGTCAGATCTCTACCATTATATTACTTATCAAAGAGAAACAGAGAAATCTCTATTATTACCTATCTAATCTCAAAAAAATCAAAGTAAAAACAGAGAATAGACTTTATTAATCATCACAATCTTTAAAATTTATTCATAGTTTCACAGCAAATATTTAATCTTGGAAACCTTTCAAAAAATCTTGAAAATAGGAAAATTAAATCAGAATGGCCAAAATGATCCCGGGGCATAAATGGATATGTAAAATGAAATTTTCAGTCTTGTACATCCTGTTTTCCTTTCTTTCCATTGCAGAAGTCAGTGATTAAAAAACAAACAAAACCATTCCCAAACTTCAGACTTTTTATTGGCCACCGCTAATTTTTCGACATGATTTTTTGGGGTGTTCCATGGTGCTCACTATTCTAAGGATATCCTTAAAAAATTAGAAAACTCATGTGGCAATAAAGTGTTTAGCAAATTATATCGTAAAGGTATCCAGAGGAGAGTATAAATTTGTTACTCTAAGAAATCCTTGGAAAATAATAGATTAATAAATAGTTTTGGGAAAAGCAAAGGAGCAGTCAAGATGCCTTCCCCAAAAGCTGATTTTAAAACCAGAGAAACCAGAGCCGCAGGAGCCCCTTTCTCCTTGTGTTACATGTCTATTTCGCCTGCTTGTTCCACAACATTTTATGTAGACCCCTCGGTCTATAGGACTTCCCTAATGATTGGAACCAGTGTTTAAAAAGTGGTGAAACAAAAAAGGTTTCTTGATTCCTAAAATTTTACAGTGTCCTTTGCTCAGATATTAGAAATACTGTACATACAATCCAGCTGAAAATAGTCACAGTTTTCACAGGGCTTTAAACCCCAGATGTCATGCTCTAGCCATCATTGGGAAAGCTTGGGGAAAAAAATAAGGCCATTTATGAATATACTCACTCTCGGGCTGCTTCTGTTTGCATGACCAGGGCTGCCTCTTTGGGACTTTCAGGGGACTTCAGTCCTTGAGTGTTCCTCTTGTATTTTTTAATTAAATCCATCAGAACAGCTTGATGCCCAATTTTCTTTACCAGTTGCTGAACCATCCGATCATTAAGTGCAAGGAGAGCGGCCCCACTTACTTCTTCCTCTGGGAAAAAGAAAAAAAAAAGTTTCTACATGACTTTCTGGCAAAACACAGGCATTCTGAAGAAGCAAAATTATCTCCAGTGATAAAAGGATCGTCTAAACTTGTCCCCTGCCATTATAAATTTATCCATATTTTTGACAAAGATAGAACTCTGATGTTGCATAATTCCAAATCAATACCTGCTCCTAAGAAAGTGCCAGAACATGGAATCACAATAAAAACTTATAATTTCCACATTAACACCCTCTCCATTCTAGTTCTCTCTAACAGGCATTGTTTAATCTTAGGAAATTATTCTTCATAATAGCTCCTAGCCAATATGCAACCTTGTAAACCCAATACTACAAAAAATACACACTGTATTAAAGAACAAAAGCAATATTAAATGCATATATCAAATACGTATTTTAAGTAACCCTTAAGGCTTTATTTGAGTTCTTGACATATTATATTCTCCTGTGGACATTACTTTCAAATAGAAACTCCGCTACAGTCCATGAAGAAATGAAAAATTCTCTGCTGCAGCAACTCCACATCCACATTTACATGCACACAGACATCTGTCAACAAAAGTAATTTCAACAACAGAGGACATCAGAAGATCTAGGCTGATCAATTAAAATTTTTGGAAAGTATAAACAACTCACCTTGAAACCTCTGAACTAGCTCTCCTAAATTTTTCTCCACCAACCAACTGCAGACCTGCTCAACTGACCAGGTTTCCATGGCTGTCTCCTGTAAATACACCTGTAGAGCAAAAGGTCAGAGAATACTCCAGCTTTTCTTTCTGACCCTGCCTTAATTTTTTTTTTAACAATCAGCCCCTTCCTTTGCTAGATTCCTTTAGACTCTCAATGTTAAGCTTTTAAAAGATTACTATTTTTACAATGCACATTTAAAAACTGCTAAGAAAACACTCTCATTTTAAATATAAGACCCTATTTAACCTATTTTCTAGTAGCTCATTTCTTAAATTTCTTCACCTTCTCCTACTTTTTTCCCATAGGCATCCCGAAGCTTTACTAACAGCCAGCCAGAGCCATACAGTGGTACCCAATCCTGTACCATTAACACCCAGGTTTCTTCACAAAGAAAAGAAAGGTGTGAAATTCACCACTACTAGGCTCCTCAGGAAGTGGTTGACATTTACAGAAGGGGTGGGCAGGGGAGGAAGGGAGGAAGGATCAGATAAAAGCCTGACAGAAATACTTAGTAAACCAAGACTGGTTAACCCCTTGCTTCTCCTAGCTAGGAGAAGGAGGTTGTAACTTACTGTTTCTCGTCGTTTTGGTTTAGCAAGAGGAGAAAGTAGGACCCAAATTCCTCAGGAGAATCTGAATGTTTCTGTCCTTCCTTCCAATAATACTCGTACATATCCCTCTGAGTTCTAGAACTTTATTGGACACTGTTATGATTGGTAAGATAACTAGGATAAACTACCACATAGATTGAAAACCTTGTACTTAATTGGGCAGATTCAAATTGGAAAATAATTAAATATGTTAATAATTATTGTGAAAGAAGCATATGCAAAGTGTGCAAGATATAATCTTCAACTGTTTCACTTATTTTTGCATGCCACTTGTCTCCAACCACTAAGAAAACTTAAAACTATTTCCCTAAGGAAGCTTATTCCTTGATTTTGTAATTCCAATCCAAAGGACTTGTGATGGATTTGGAGGTGGGTGTGGTGAGGGGAGGGGTGTGGGAGGGTGGGGTAGGATGGGTGGGTGGAGGGAGAAACTGAAATAAATTTAAAACATTTAGCCTTTTAACATTACATGGCAATTTCAAATTACAATCTAAATGATATAGATTCACTTGTACATTAAGATATTGACTATTCTATATAGACCAAGGAAAAAGCTACTTATGGAGAAATGGAATCATAAGGAAAGATAAAAATACTTATTAATCATGTATTTAAATTTTATTGATGGAAGTTCTAAAAAGAACTATTATTGCATTTTTCATTTTTGTGTATTTAAATAGGTTACAATTACCAACATCATAGTTAGAATAGTAGAAAAGGGGAAAAACGTTTACCTTGCATATGTAACAAGCTGAAAAGATAATCTTCAAGAATCATTTCCTAGAAAACAGTTTGACTTCAAATAAGCCTCATACTCATAAGTATTCACAAACACCAAGTTGAAAAATCGAAAACAAGGGTTAAATATAGAAGAACATCTTTCTGCATTTCAGCAGTGGATTTAATTTGTTATGACAAACAGTAGCCATAGAACTCCTCCCCTAGGCTAAGCAGCAATAGCAGGGTGTGAAAAGTCATTATTTGCAAGACTCTGGTGTAAATTAAAAATCACACCTTTCTGTCACACTTCTGGCTTCCTTGTGAAGAGTAGGTCTTAGGGAAAAAATAGAAAATAAAGAAAAAGTAAAACAATTCTCTGAACTCTAAGATTAAAAGGTATGCAGAGCAGAAGATACTACCTTGTAGCCATAGATGGATAAAAGGAAATTTGAAAAAAAAAAAGAGTACTTGGAAATGATCACGTATTTTTTAATTTGCGGATTCTTACTACAATTCTACTTCCGGGAAAAACAAAACAGGTTAAATTATAACCTCATACAAACATAATAAAATAAAAAAGCATATAGTTTTTGCCTATTAGCTTTTCTGGAGAGGTAATGAAACAATATCACTAGCTAGACAATGTAACATCTTTGAGGAGTAATGGTACAACTTCTTCTCACATAAATAATGGATATATTATTTATGATCTTCTAAACCATGAAGGCACAAATTATATATCAGATGAGAAAAGATATATCTGGTAGCTTTATTCTGAGCTCCAGAAACATCTGAAAGTATTTCAAAATGTGAAGGTAAGCATTATCCCTAAATAGTTGAAGACACAATAATGTTTAGGAAGAATTAATAATAATATTATGTATGAATGCTCCTGCTAAACCATTCTTATTATTTGATTGAATTGTAAAACAAGAAAAAAATATGTATTAAGTATTAGAGGGCTTCATCTAACTAAAGCCAAGAAGAGGTAAGACTTTAGCTAAAGCAGCCTAAATATGGGCAAGCTTTATTTAACAAATCTGTTAAAATTACAAAGGAAGATAATAGGGCCACCTGCTGTGAACGTGATTTATCATCTTCAGGGGGCAATCTAATGCATAAAACATCATATAAAACATATAAAAACATCAACCACAAAAGAGTACTTTTAAGGAAAACATGAACCCTTTTTGTCATCTTTCTTTCTATTTTCATTTTTAGTTTTGTCTTCTGAAGTCCAAAAGCTGGGACAACAAAAGATTCCTAAAAGTTTTGCTGGCAGCATACGCCCTCTCCTGGATCAATATCTCATTCTGCCCTGAGAAAAAGTATCTCCTACCATGGCTGAACTTGAAGGGACAAACCACTGATCAAATATCAGTTCCTGTTGGTAAAAAAAAGAAGGAAAATTGAGGTACAAAAATAAGGGGTTGGGTACTGTGGCTCACACCTGTAATCTAGCACTTTGGGAGGCCGAGGTGGGTGGATCATGAGGTCTGTAGTTCAAGACCAGCCTGGCCGAGATGCTGAACCCTGTCTCTACTAAAAATACAAAAAATTAGCCGGGCGGTGTGATAGGTGCCTGTAAACCCAGCTACTTAGGAGGCTGAGGCAGGGAATCTCTTGAACCCAGGAGGTGGAGGTTGCAGTGAGGTGAGATCGTGCCACTGCACTCCGGCCTGAACAACAGAGAGACAGTCTGTCTCAATAATAATAATAATAAGAAGTATGTGGCTGTCACATACAACAATGTCTGGCAATTCTTTTGGGTAGCAGCCTTGCTACCACTGGAGGCAATAGCGTTGTACAACTCTCTCCTTAGTTCAGCTAGGAGCTGGGTTCTTTGTCACACGGTCATGAAATATTAGCTCTAGGCTCGCAGACACTTTGAAGGTTGAGAAAACGGAATTTATCGGGCCAAAAGGAATAAAAGGGGAAACTCTCAGCAGAGTGAGAGTTCTGGTAGAAATGCTTCCCACATCACAGATTGAATTCCAATTTCCCACACCAGAACAAGGGGGGCCAGGTCCTCCCTGCCGCAAATGGCACAAACTTCCGTGGCTCCACCCCATTCTCTCAGTGCACAGGTTGGCCAGGTGTTTCAAAAGCAGCATGGTGTTCCAATGGAACATAACATCTCATCCACTATGGCGTGATATTATTGCAACCATCACCAGAACACATGAAATAAAAACTGCAATATTCAACTCAAATACCTTGCATACGCTAGTCACCAAGATGTTTACTGCCTAGATAGATAGCCCAAAGTGGGGTGGATGATGATACACTAAAGAAGTTACATGCCTCACTAAGAAGATAAGATACATAGATAAGCAGAATATGATATACAGCCAATTATGATGGGTGGGTGCTTTAGAAAGCACCTTGGGGCTGGATTTTCCCACAGCCTCCTGGAAGAGAATGGATCTTGATTTGGAATTAAATAATGGAAATATTTTAGATACCAAAGAAGCTGGAGAAAGCAGGATCAATATAATGACCTCAAAGTAGAAACCCAGAAATAAATGAGTCATATTTCGGAACCCCAGGGAGGACCATGCTGCCTGGAATAGGAACCCCATGGTAGGGAACTAGAGGAGACAGGGTCTGAAGACCGAGGAAAGGCTTAGAAAGTTAAGAGATTATACACGTACTTAGCTTGGGAGGGTCATTGAACTGAGAGTATGTTCCATGCTTTAAAAAGATGATTTAGGCAGTGGAGTCAAATAAATGACAGAAAAGCATTCTTTCTTGAAGCAAGCTGTGTATGAGATGGAAGGGCTTAGCCTTTACTAAACATCCATATGTGCACCAATTTTCCTCTGTTTTGGAAAACAGATATTTATATTAATCTTTTAAACATTTAAGGACCAAAACTATTAATTTTTTTCATATATCATGGTCTGAAAGGGAGTGACAGCTACGAAGTTAGCAGACACCAAGCAAGTGAAACACACCAAAAGGGGCTATCTGTATCCATTTTGCTGAACCATATGAAACAGCCATTTTTTAAATTATAAGGATTTATTTTTCTTCAATTTTTTTTTTTTATTTCCATGGGTTATCAGGGAACAGGTGGTGTTTGGTTACATGAGTAAGTTCTTTAGTGGTGAGTTGTGAGATTTTGTTGCACCCATCACTGGAGCAGTATACACTGCACCCAGTTTGCAGTCTTTTATTCCTCACCCCCTTCCCACCTTTCCTCAAGTCCCCAAAGTCCATTGTGTCATTCCTATGTCTTTGCATCCTCATAGCTTAGCTCTCACTTATGAATGAGAACATACGATATTCGGTGTTTCCATTCCTGAGTTACTTCACTTAGACTAATAGTCTCCAATCTCATCCAGGTCGCTGTGAATGCCATTAATTCATTCCTTTTTAGGGTTGAGTAGTACTCCATCTATATATTCCATATATATATTTACCATCCATATATACCATATATATATATATACCACAGTGGTATTCCATATATATGTACCACAGTTTCTTTATCCACTTGTTGATTCATGGGCATTTGGGCTGGTACCACATTTTTGCAAGTGCAAATTGTACTGAAACAGCCATTTTTGTACATACAAGAATCTAAGATCAGTATTTCCTGTGGCCAAAGTTATTAAAATCTTACTTTTGTAAAAATTAAAGTCTTTGTTGGTTCTTTTTTCTAGCAAGACAGAGTTGTCTGTAACTCACAACACCTCCGATAAATTTGAAGACTGTGGTGAGCACAGTCACAGCAACTTAAATTTCATATTGTTCTATTTTCAAAGAAACTAAACACTAACTTATCTGGGAGGTTTAGTTAACTTAATGAACAAAAATAACCATAAGCCACAATCCCAGACCTTTGGAACTTTTGAGTCACAAACACCCTGATCTTTTGGGCTTTCAGTCAAACTTACGGTTTATCCCTGCTTCTGTTTTGCTGACAGCCAAAACTTATGGTTCAGCGACACAGACTACAATCCTACAGGTTTTTGCCGGAGATGGTAACTGTGAACTGTGCTATAGAATTTTATCAAAAGCTGGACGTGTGACTGAGAAGTCTTGTTAGTTTGAAGATGTCAGTTCCCTCAGAATTAATTTATAAATTCCAGTTAATATTCATACATGGTTATATGTTTTTCTATAAGGCTAGTTTTTTAATGAAAGAATACATAGGTTTTAAAAATTCTTATTTATTCTTATTTAAATGCTTGGCAAAAGGACTTGCACTTTCAGATGTTAAAAAGTGTTATACTATTAACAGCATGGTACTGGAGGAAAAGAGAATAGATATTGAAACAGAATAGAAACTTAGAAAGAGAAATATTCATATGGAAGTACAGAAAAGATCATTAACATTGGTGACGAAGAAGGGATTAGTCAATACATTTTGTTGGGATAATACCTCATAACACCTACACAATAAATTCCTCAGAAAAGTTAAATATGTAAATATGAAAAATTAAAAAGGTTTTAAAATAATCTAAGATTATATAATAAAAATAAAATATTGATAAATTTGACTAAGAAGGAAAAACGCATGTGTATACATATTTATTACAGTAGACCCTTGAACGACACAGGGGTTGGGATGCTGACTCCGCCATG